AGGACGATTTTCGGCCTTCCGTGATGATGACAGCGCAGCAGCGGCTGGCGGTGCAATCAGAACTGCAGGCAGGGTCCAGGCCCGTCAAGCTCCAAGAAAGGCGCGTGATGCCACCGGGGATGGACTCAACCTCAACCACGCCTTGCGGATTGTAGGGAGATGAGGAGCCAGGATATGGGCTGAAATCAAAGGCGTACAACTCCTCTCCGACAGGCGGGGGATTGGTGGTCGTCGCGCCCGGGCCGGGGCCATCAGGATCCTGGTCCCTGACGTTGTCCAGGATCTCATCTCTGTCCTCAGGGGCTGCGGAGCAAACATCCAGGATGCACCCACGGAGGATCTCCTCCTCATCGGGAGATGCCCCCACACCAGGGTACTGGATGCCCTGGAGGAAGTCCACATTCGAGCGGCAGAAATTCAGGGCATCCTGAAGGCTGAAGCGATCTGGTGTTGAGGCACAAGCCTCTTCGGGTGTGGGGCCCGGTGCTGGGTTTTCTGGCTTCTTGCAGATGCACTGCAGGTCTCGGAACTTCGTGGTCTGGCAGTTCACCTTTCTGGTGTCCACTTCGTCTAGACTGTTCACGGTAGCTACACACGTCTCTCCATTTGGATTGTCAACGGCCCCCACGCACTCGGAGCCCCTGGAAGTGCAGAAATCGTCGCAAGTCCTTCGCTTGTTGAGTCGGACGTATGCAACGCAGTTCTCACCACCGTCCTCTGCTTCCAGCAACACCGGATCACTCGTGCCAACACAATCCTCAACCAGGTTGGCCATGACTCCAGGTCTCAACTGCAAGAAGTCACAGGCCGGTGCCATGTTGGGCGGTCCTTTTCCGGGCTCTTCGCATCCCGGAACTACCATGCCTGTCTCAGCTTTGCATAGGTCACACAACTCGTTGAACTTGTCGTCTGGAAAGAGCAGGTCCGGAGTGCCTGAGCCAGGCCCCACAAAGTAGGGTCCGAAAGTCGGGGCTCCACAGATACCCTCGGCTGTGATGGCCTCGCTGATCACGCGCAACTGACCGTTGTGCAAGAAACCCGGTGCCTTCCGCAAGCCCTTGGTGTTGACATTCAGGCGGACACACTTGTCGTCACTGACAACGTCAACACCTATCTTACGATTCCCGATGGCATCCGCATTGTCCACATCTGCATTACCCGTGCTTTCCACGGTCGTGTTTGAGATCACGACCACATCCCCGTCATTGATCTTCACCGCAATGCCAAGAGCCACAGCATTGCCATTCTTGCTGTAGGGGCACTGGAAGATTTGCATCTCGAAGTCCCCGCCACACTTGGTGGTCTGTGCATAGCTGTAGACGCCCGTGCCCTGAAAGTCGAAGACATTAGGAGTGCGCCAGCTGTCCCTCATATGGACATCACCCCAGAAATCGCAGCGCCTGAAGTTGGGATCATTGAAGTCGAGAGAGTCGCACTGGCAGTGCTGGCTGGCCACCTGTGGGACCTGTGCGGCAGCAAGCACGAGCAACACGGTGCGATGCATGGCTCACGCGCAGCTATAAAGGGATCTGCTGGCTGTCCTTCTTGCGCCAGGCAAAATATGCAAAGCAAGAGCCATGTCAATGGTTCAACCGAATTATGGACGTTGCAGACACATGCTCGCTCAACAGCAAGCATGGTACAACTGTAAGATGAGACTCTAAGCAACAAGAATCGTTGTGCTGCTCTTCTGGTAGTTCTGAGACCTTTTCTAGCTATCAAACCTGCCAGCACAGCACATCCTACCACCAAAGGTTCTGGCACTTCAAATCGCCCGAAGCAGATGTAAACCTAGGCGGA